ACTGCAATCGAAAGTTGCAAAAATTTAAAAATATAAACATTCTGAAAGCTGGGCAAAAGCTTAAAAATGCACTAATATGTTTTTTACAATTTTCAACCTAGAGYTCCTTATAAATTATTTTTCCAATACAAACATRAAATTAATGTTTTTATAAACTCACGATCTTCGYTTGTCTAAACATTCGCCAGCATCATTATTTTTTTATTAAATTTGGCACAGCAATGTTTAAAGTAAAATGGGGAAATAAACGCATTTAAAGTCGACTTCACGGTTTAAGGAAAAAACGAAAAAACTATAACTATTATTGGAAACAACATAGAAAATACCTTGAAGAATGGAAAAGATTTTCTCGAGTTCACAAAGTAGCGATGTTGAAACATATGAAATTGCAAGCTTATTGGAAGGTTGATAATAGTTGAACAAATAACTGATTTTACAGAAGGGTGTAACAATAGAGAAATAAAAGAGCGTTTTTCATTAAATAGGGTCAAGTATAATGCAAATTCAAGTAAAAAAACTGATAAAAACTGGAAGAAGTTCTAAAATCATTTCTAATTTCAACGTAAACAATGTTTCCGGGTTTTGGGACTCAAAACTTGCGCAGCAACAACGCCTATACGAACAAACTGATGATGGTGGAAAAACACCGAAACGTTTTTTAATGACTAAATTATAATATTCTAACTAAATTTCCCATAACTTGCGTAGCAACAACCGCCTACACGAACAAACTGATGACGGTGGGAAAACACTGAAACTTTTTTAATGGCTAAATTGTGATATTGCTAATAAATGACCCAGGAACATTGTTTATGTTGAAATAAGGAAAACGTCTTGAAGAATGGAAAATGAAAGGGACTCATACAGTWTTAATTTATGTTATTGTGAAGTTGGTAYAACACCGATTTTTCTGTAAATAACCGAACATACAATGGATTTTCCTAAACGTTCTCTGGATCGTTTTTCCACTTTAGAACAGAGTTTAAAAGCTTGTTAACTACAATAAATGGTCTTGACTCCTAAAATATTCTATTAGTTTGGAGCCAAATATGACTCTTTGAAGATCTTTGCACTTCATTATTATTTTTGGTTAGCGTTTGTTTATAAACTGAGCCAAATTTTTACATTGGAATACAAGACACTTTTATCCATCGTGCGGCAGCCCCAATTTTATAATAACCGCAAATGAAATCGACTCTTTATCGCCTGAAAATAGCTACTTTCATCCTGGGCTTATCCTTGGGTTGAATCATGGAACAATCTAAGAATTCATCTTCAAAGACTTTTTCTATAAATATATGTCATGTTGTAAACTCCTAAAACAATCCCTTTTGAGTCCTATTCAAATAAGATTTTCCGCTCATCTCCAGCTCAAACATTCGCAAACGTTGGATCGATGTCTCGAAGAAAAATGATCTCCAACTTTCAAGTGACATTCCTTCGTTCAGTTCACTTCCTTTGTCGCGTTTTACATGACATGTCGTTCGTATTATGTATGATAGCGTACGGAAAATACCGGCATCGACCAAAAGCGAATCTATTTATCCAAGTTCTTGCGGCTCATTGAATACAATGCGAATCGACGATTTCAACATCTTATCCGGAGATTTGCGGAACGTTCACCTATCGTTTACACCACATTATGAGCCAGTGTGAAACTGGGGATTGTAAACCATTTTACAAGTCTGCAATGCCCTCGATTGTTTAGTCTTCAATTTCATTAAAATTTGCCATGCAGAGTTAGATGATGTTAGAGCTCAGAGAAAATCTCATTGGAAATTATTATGAGAACGTTCCCAAGACAGTAACTTTAATAAACTTTCGATTTATTTCCAGGTTATTTTCCTCTGCCCTCAATTTATTGCCTGGCCTGGATTTGCCTGGATGTGCTTTTCTGCACGGCATCGATAATGCATCTGTGCACAATCAGTGTGGACCGATACCTTTCGCTACGTTATCCCATGAAGTTTGGACGAAATAAATCAAGGCGAAGAGTCATCTTGAAGATCCTGTTCGTATGGCTTCTGTCGATCGCCATGAGTCTCCCGCTCAGCTTAATGTATTCCCAAGTAAGTGCAATATAATATATCGATCCAAATTGCAGGTTCGAGACGTTCCAACTCTCGTTAGCATAACGATTATATAAGTGGTATGTTGGAACGGCTTTACCATAAAGTTCCCATTAGAACTGCTAATGCAATAAGTCACACCAATGGTAATTTTTTTCTCTTTAGGCGATTAATTTAAATCGGAAGTTTGCTACTTGCCAAACCCATTAGAACAAATAAAATCACACTCAAACTTCCGGCAGTGTGTATAATTCAAAAATTACCATAAAACTAAGCAGCATAATGTTTATTCTCAAAGGGGAAGCGACTGACACAGTGCTTAAGCGAGATTGTTTTGAAATATGAATGGCAAACGACAAGGCAGATTAAAGAAAGCCTTAGGGATATCCCTTGTCTTAGTTATAAATTGCAAGGCTAAATTAGACAAAGTTTCATAATTTGTTCTCGTTAAAGCTGTTTATAGTAGTAGATAGTTGTCGCATGAATGGCACTTGAACACTGCACAAACAAACTTATGGGCAGTGTTGTTGCAATTGCTTATTGTTCAGCCTTTTTTCATTCATTCAGTTAATCCCCCAGTTTTTAATTAGCCACTTAAAACGTCGGAATGAGATGAACCAAATATTCTGTCGGAAAGAGAGCGACCATAAACACAAGGATAATTATAACTAATTGAAAGGAAAAAACAGAGAACCTTCTACAGGCTCACCAAAATTATGTGTTTCTTCAGTTAGTAGATAAAAACCAAGCAAATAAACAAAATGATTTGATAAAAACCCCAAGCCCAGCCCAAATGCATTAAACTGCAAGCAGATTAACCGCGCCAGCAAACCGCAAGAATCCACTCAGAATTGCAAACGGGATTATTTATTATGAATAACCAAAACTAAGGCCGGAATTAAACCAAAACTACAGGGATTTAAGCGCCGTCTTGACGCATTTCAAGCAAAGTGTACCAGACCGAACTTGCAAAATTAAACGCCTTCCATTTATCTTTTTCATTATTTACTTAGCCAAGCCCCAAATCCCAACTTTATTCAGGCAATATTTATCGTTTGATTACGAAAACTTCCCGACAATTAAAAAGGTAAATACCGAATTGCTAATTGAGTGAAACAACGAAGTTTTGAATGGTCTGCATTTAGTTATTTCGCAAGTTTCGGTTAATGGGTGAAGATTTGTGCTGAATTTGTATTAGGCGCGCTTTTTTGTGTTTTGAATGATACTTGAAGAGAAATTATTCCAAAGAAGTATAAGCGAAAGTGGACGAGCCCTCAAAAATCCCATAATAAAAGTTTTATAAAGGGAATATAAGACTCTTCAGGGCATTTCATAATGGCATATTTTTCGGCAGCCGAAAAGTTTCGGCGTCCTCAATGGATGGGGCAGAAAAGGGACTTTTCACATTAAGAACACGTCAACCATTTTGTCAACACTCATCTTGATACCATTCAGATAGTGTTTATTAACCATTGTATAAAATAGTTCTCGGTACTGATTATAAATCGCCCCGCTTTCAGTAAAGCTCTATTATTATTTTAATCATTTTCATAGCAATTTCCATTAAACAAGGCTAGCGAATAATTAAGGCCCTATGGGAGATAATGAATTTTTGACAGGGCCCTTAAAACATGATCCGCATTATTCGACATTCTCTTCTGTACATTGTTTCCATTTTTCAGGAAAAAATGGCTCTGATTCATTAAGTTCATAATAAATTGATTAATTTTGCTTCCAAATTTCCCTGAATTATCAAAAACAGGCCTTGAAAAGTTTTTTGCTGCAAGTTGAAAACAACAGTGATAAGTGGAAAGATGTGTTAGGCGTTTCTTGCGGAATTACATTGTAATGGAGCCATATAAACTCGATAAACCCGCTAATGAAACGCAGTCTAGTTAAAGTTGAAATTCGTATATAAACAATGGCTAATTTAATTTCTAACTGATATGATTATTGGTAAATGAACCCTAAACTAAATAATTGTAGTTAAAAGCAAACCCACCTTTTAATTGTGGAATTGGCAAATCTAATTGACTTATGGCCCTCTAATTGTAAGCCTTTAATACGCAGTTTTGAACCGAATAATTTACACCACGTATTAATTTACCGCGTTGCCACTTCCAGTATTCATTATCTATTATTCATGCAGTTTAAAAGAGCCTTGGCTGGAATTCAAAAATAATTTAATCAATCGATGGATTACATCTGGAATACTAGAGCTGGTGGCGTGATATGAATGGCAATATGAACCTGAATGTTCTGCAATTCCATTCAAAGGCCTTACAAAATGGGCATATTTGGAAGAATAGGGCAAATTAGTTAGAGAGGACAAACAGGCCTTTATTAGACTGGTTTATCGCGCATTTCAGGTACTAAACTGATTTTATAGCGTGCAGGTTCGGGTTTTATGGAATTGCGACCAACATTTTACAACATATCGCGCCGATGGCGTTAACCAATATTGTTTGCGAAAAACGCAACTTGACCGATAAAGCAGAAAAGCGAACGATTATGAAACAGCGACTCAATTAACAACTTGAAGAATTAGCACTCGCGAAGCAGAAATTAATACCAACTCTATCAATCTGAAAGTTTTAAAATGCCTCCAGGAACGACTGAAATGAACTTTCGTGTTTTATTCCTATTACTTTCTTCCGACTTTTCTTAGATGGGCTTAAAAATGATTCACTGAGTTTAACAGCTTGTTTTCTAGTATTTTTCATATAAAGTGTTCGGATTAAGCCAAGAAAACCAGTAATATTAAACAATGTTTGAATCCTACGGGTTTCTTTAAACGGACTTGGACGGATTAATTCGACAGTTTATTTTCTGCTGTTTATTTTTTTTCGTGACATTTTGCAATTTGTATCTAATCCCAAAGCTCTAAAGGGCCGATGTTTAGAAAATGGTCAAAAAATTGTAAATGGCCGAGGTTCCGACCCTTATGAAGCTTTGATGAAGAGCTCAATTAACGATTGAAATTTCGGCCATTTAACCAAAATAGGAGTGTAAATTCGGGTCCAAAACTTGATTTTTCAAACGCAACTTTGGGATGCTTCTGGCGAATAGTCACCTATTCTATCCAGGGGCCAGGATTTGAAGACTTGCAGACCATTGGTCGAAGTATTAGGGCTTAATTCTTACCTAAATGATCAGTATCTTTTTCCCAAAAAAATGTATGGAACTTTTTTGAAAATAATTGTAGCAACTAGTCAATAATGTTCGAGTGATACATTATGTACGAAAATTGTATCGAGCCCTTCGGGCGCATTGAGGGCAAAAGAAGCCAAAAACAGTGCTTTCTAAAGCCTCAAACAGTGTCGTGGCACAACTTCGCACAGCCCAATCTTCCTGCCTTACTTTGCAAGGCTACACACGTAACGCAGTTTAATGCCGAAGTCCATAATTTTTTTTTTCATATATTTATTTTTTTTATGACAACTAACACATAAAAATGTATTTTTGTATCATGAATATTTTTCATTAGCTCTTTTTAAATGATTTGGTTTCCAGCCAGATTCAAGCATGTTATAGACAGGAAGTTTAGTGCATAATTTCTATGAAATGAACATATGACTACCACGCATATCTCGCATGTCTTTACTGCAGCAATTAGTGTCGAGTTCAATAGCTTCTATAGCTAGAAATTGCCAATATCAAGCTCGCTAAATCGGACGTCTGCCTAGCAAGTTTAATACAATAGCAGGACGATATCCGATCACCGTAATTACACCGTGAATGAGAGCCAATATTGGTTTTGTAGCCAGACTACAAATAAACAGCAAACATAGTTCAAAGGCCGATAATTGAATCTACATTGCGGATATGTTAATATGAATAAATTAGCGTTGGCTTTAACTAAGTTTCGTTGCAGGATCAAGACTCGCTGATCATAGATGGAACCTGCCAAATTCCTGACCCACTCTACAAGTTTATTGGATCAATAATATGCTTCTACATTCCGCTGTTGGTGATGCTGGTCACATACGCGCTCACGGTCCAGCTGCTGGCCAATCAGAAGCTGAACTTGGGAACCCCTAACTGGTCCAGCAACTGGATGGGACCTGCTACAACTCCTTTGGGTAAGAGCGTTAAAATGAAGAGTCCCATATAGTTGAAGGTGCCGAAAATAATAGCCGAGATTAATATTCTAATGGCCCAGCCAAGAGCACATGGACGTTTACTGCCTCCATACCTCAAAAATAATTCTCATCAAGGGCGCGAGATAATGAAATATCTCTAACAATATTCTAGCAAGCACTTCGGAGAGCTTAATAGCTCATCAATTTTGTTATGCAGCATGTTAGCGCGTAATTTTCTCTTCTCGTGGATAATTGGATGAAAGCACAGTGTCGCCAAGAAAATATGTGAAACATGAATTTTCTAAGGTTTCACGATATTGTTTAATATGGGCCTGAAGAATCCTTTAAAAATTAAATCTCCATCGCCCACACGAGAACCAACAAAATTGCCACTTTCAATCTAAAACCAGCACGTTTGCTAATATAAAATTATTGCTTTTTTAGGGTAAACAAAATAAACATTTTCCAATTACTCGCTTATTTTTAACCCCAACTAGCACATCCAAATAAAAAATGCGAACAATAGAAAACGGTTATTATTAGTAACATAATAGGCCATTATGGAATATGGCCATAACCGAATGTATTGAGTTTCCCACTAGTGCATTTCACTGAAAAGCCGCATTTTCATTTAACTGTCCATGTAAATGAGGCGGACTTTGAAAGGATGATTATTTCAAAGTTTACACGAACTTTTCTATGGAAAATACTATTTTACTACCAGAAATTGTTGAATAGCAAAATCAGTAGCTGTTAATTATAAGGGGAAGGAACTCTTGGCTGGATAATTATAGCGTGAGGTAATATTTGCATGACAAAGCCCATTAATATTGACGAGTTAATATAATGAAAAGTAATTTATAACGGCTTATTAAATAAACGAACTTTACCAAAACTGTTCGGAGATTAGGCGGTTTTACACAGCCGGTGAGGATTTTCTCTATAATTCGAAATTTTTTTTCTTGGGTGAGTTTTCAGAAGTTTCTTGTATAATAAAGTCGCCTGCTTTGCGGCGTATTTTCCTAGTGAATATTAAGCAAATAATTACCAAAATTTGGCGTTTTCCGAAAAACTTTTATAATAATTCATACTTGTTAAAGCTCATTTTTAATTTTTAAAGAAAGTCTACTAAATTACACAACAAATGTTTCCTTAACTTACGCCAGATTCTAGGTTTGGTTCAACTTGGAGGATATCTTCAGACCAATAAATTTAGTCTGCCCTTTCACTTCCTACTAAACTCCAGTCCCTGAAGATAACAGAGTTGGACGTAAATTTCCCCCAACATAAGTGCACGCTTTTGCCTACAGCTTTCAGCGTTTCAACCGAGTTTAACATTGACCATATTAATGTACTCTGAATAATTTTGATTATTGGAACTCGTGAGTTTTTCGCGCTTTTAGGCTCGCAGTGAAATAGAATTCCTACCTGACGATTTGCTATCGCTCGAGCAAAACAGTTCGGAGAATCCAAATTATTTTTCTCACAAGCGAGAAAAAATTACCACTTTCTAGCAAGCATAAAAGTCTAAACCACGATTATTTTTTGAAACAGATTCAAACAGGAACTATATCCTGACTCTTGAGACAATTGCAAAGTGATAAAACAGTAAGTAGCATCAAGTTGGGCCGATAAAGCTAAATGATCAGATGCGATAACACAGAAAAGCCGTTTAATGACCCTTAAAGGTCGAGCTTGCAATAAAAACCAGAGCGCCGGATCTCTTTTAATCCTATCAAGGGACATGCAGCATCCGAACCTCACCTGGGACAATTCCGAATCCAGTTTTTGCTGCGGTTTTAAACTGAACAACAGCTGGAAATGTTGCAGACCATTTCCAGCTGAGGCCCTTCATTCCGCTTATGCAAAATTCAATATTGAAACCGAGTTTAGGCTTCCGCCGCAAGAAGGCAAAGTATTAAATATGCGAACCTTCGATGGAAATGAGTGAAATCTCATACATAGCTTACAAACATATTTGAAATTCAAATGCAAAATGCCTACGAAGAGACACTGCGAAACAAGTTTCAAATTAATTCCGGCAATCTGACGAGGTATAAATCTGTGTCTTTCCGAAATCACGTAATTTATGCCCTTCCAAATTGTATTAATGTAAAACGTGCCCAACAGATAAAATATGGGGACACTTTCATCGATTCTTTGCGGTTAATCACGTCTGGAGTTCTGCGGAAAATTCACGTGATCATTAAAAATCGTTTGGCGGATTCAAGTTGGAAAACTTGGAGTTTTATGGATGAGTTGAGACTACTTTTAATCGAAATGCAGAGAATAGTTTCAGTTATCAGTTTGGCGCATTTGCATTAAATTTCCCTCGGTGTCCGCAATTCATTTCAAAATGCACCTTTTCTGTTTTCTCCGAACGGAAGCGAGAAATACGCCGACTTCATTCGAGAATTCTTCTTCTTCATTCAAAAACACATTAGGCTCTTTCGTTGGAAAATTTCATCCACTTTGAATTTAAAAAACGTTGATTTTTGACCGAAAAAATAGAAAATCCACCAGTATACTACCGTTCGTTTGAAAAACTGCAAATCGCTTTAAATGCTTCAAAGTCCATCAACTTCCATCATTCGAGAACCGTATCGAACTGATTTGTGAACATTTCTCTCTCATGAAATTCTCAAATTCCACATAACTCTCACAACATTCTCAAAAAATGACCTCAGATCTCGAATAATCAAATCAGAATTTTTTTGCAGAGAGGCGCTGTACATGGAGAAGACTGCTAAAAGCTACGTCCAGAGGAGGAAAACTATCAACAATGTCCACACCACAACATGGACATTCGGCAGGTTCCACTGATACAGAACTAACCACATTGGACAACCACGAGCTCTGGATACAAGAGTCGGAACCCACTCCTTGCACCATGTCCGCTCTAGGACAGTTTGGAACTGAGATGCTGAAACTATCGCGAGGCTTGCAAGAGGCAGCTGCAGCTGCTGTGGCAGCTGAATCGCTGAATACTGTAGCAATGGAACCCGGACTATCGCCCGGGAAAAGCTACAAGTCAGGGTAAGTTTTAAGAAAATAATTGTCCCAAAGGATGTTCAATGAAACCTCCATAAACGCTGAAATAAGCTTTAAATCTTTAGAGTTTCAATTGCAAATTTACTTGTAATGAAAACAAATAAGATTAACCTCGACGTATGAAACTTTCGCCAACAATGGAAAAATTCTATTTAATATGGACTCTGTCTAGCCGCCCACGGATATTTGAAAAAATATTTGCATAATCGAATTAAACCAGCTCAAGTGAAGAAGTTGTTGATTTCGGCGTCTGCTAGAAAATAAATAACTTTTTATGAAATGTCGCCTACGCTATCCTGAATTATGTGCATCAAATCCAGATTTACGCTTTAGTAAAGCTGTTGAAAATAATTTAGCTCGAATTCTGCTGCTGATGGGAAGAACGATTAAATTTGTAAAAAAGTCACACAAATAAGTAGACGACGAGAATTAGTTAAAAAAATAATTTAAAAGTACGGTACAATTTTGGGACAGAATTATGAATCAATAGACAGTATTTTTTCGATAAAAAATTTATAAGCATGGGTGTGGGTCTATTTGAGCCGGAAACCTTGAGCGGCTTTGTAAAGCTGTCAACGGTGGGACCATAAAAATGGCGAAGCGTAATTTAATTCCGTAATGGAATCCTAAATGCTCTCCATTAATAAAATTAATTACACCTTCATAAATTATCTAGCATGGTTAAGAGGCCGCTTTTCTTATTATTAATTGGAAGCAAGAGGTCTGATCACGTCCGTGATTGTTCGAAGAATGCGGTATTTTTTATGAAATATGGCAGTATTATTTTTGCCAAGTATTGCATATTGTGCCGATGTTTGCGATTAGAAGTATTAAGTTAATTTTTTGGGAGAGGTATTAGTTTGTTTCTGATTCTTTAGATTGAGTTGTATACAAATGTTGTTTTGGTGGGCATTTCATAGAGAAAGTTATGTGTTTTACATCTGGTGAGTTTAATTATAGGTCAAGGAAGTAAAGTATAAGTTTTCAAATAAAAATTGATTGCGCAAAAACCACTACAATCACAACGCTACCCTCAACAGATTTTAATAGAAAAAGTATGCTCCGTATAGCAGATAAGTTTCAGTTTCAATGGTTGAGTGAGAAGAATTTTGTTTTTTTATATTGCACTTTTAGCAGCAAAACGGTATTCGTACTAACCCAAACTAAGGCTATAAATAAAAATTTATTGTGCCAGAAAATCTCTAATCTGCTTATAGGCATTTTATAAAAGAAATGATGCTCTAAATTCGTAAGGTGTTTTTTATCATTTTTAAGTGTAGGTATAGTTTCTAGTAGGAAATCGACGGATGGCAAGCTCATAAATAAAAATTACTGGCGCAAAACGCTCTAAGACCACAAAATTGCCCTTAGTGGCATTTTGCAGAGAAAACGATACATCATATAGAGATGAGTTTCAGTTTGAACGCATTTGTGAGAAGGTTTTTTCCCCAGCAAAACGATGTTTTGTAACTCTGAAAATCAAAATCAGTCGCTCTAAAATCAATAAAATTCCGAACACGTGTCTAGTAGTATTTGTTAGGATAAATTATGCTCTATATAATATATAATTTTTATTTTGAGGCCAAGTTTGAGGACAATTTTTTGAAATATTCAAATAAAAATTGAACCTTGAAAATAACACTCATTGTGCCAGGTTGAATCCACATTTCAGATTTAGCAGTAATTTTTCAAATATTGATTGTGTTAATTTTTGGAAAATAACATTTGTTTTTATATATTTTTGTCTATTATCAGCAGTTAGCTGATTGCTGGTTCTTCCACATTCTTATGCAAATTCACTTTTGCTTTCACTAAAAATCAAAGTGCTAGAATGTAATGTACCCCCAAGAAATTAAAACTTTGTGCGTGTTCGACGTTGTTATATATTTTAAGATTTAGAAATTTTAAATGAATCTGCAATTCTTCAAGCGCAAAAACCTTTGAAAAATAACTTCAAAATATTTCCGTTTTGCTGATCGTCTGAGTAGCGCGAGACATTTAGAAAAAGCTCCAAGCTTTCGTTTGTGCTACAGCGAAATTTAAGAATTTTTTTAATTTCCTGCTAGAGGTAATTGCAAGAAAAATAAAGTGCTGAGATCTTTCAATTAATTTAATGCCCGCGTTTGAAGTGGGTTCACTGAATATTAAATTCCGTTTACCCTCTTGAGTATTAGAGTGAATTGCAAAACGGTTTAATCGGACACACGACTGCTAGTGCACTCTAACTGATCCAGAACTTGAGTAAAACGACCTCGGATATGCGTTTCAAGGGTATCATTCATGATCAAGTATGTACCTCATGATGGCCGCAAAGTTACAGTCATTCGATTACATTAAGGAAACGACCTCAAAAGCTCACGATCACTCACATAACACTTGCATCGAATTGCATACCGTTCAACCTCGAAAACTGGCTCTAATATTTTTCCGCATAAGCTCAAATTAATTAGATGGGAGAAGAGATGAACATGTCATGGTGCTGTTAATCACCCCCTCGTATTGGTAATGAATGCGACCATTTGAGGCTGACATGTTACAGTTTCCGCTCAGAAATACGTGTTGCGATTTTAATTACTTGCGACGTGCTGCCGTTTTGGAATGGAGGTAAAGTTGATAATAAATGAACCTGGCTGATGGCATTTCATCAATTTCCTACCAGATATTACAACAGGGTTATATTTTGAATAGCAGTTTCACATGGATTTATAAACCTCGCCCCGATGTGTAATTTCCTATTCGTTGTAATACGGACTGATATTGCCCAGAGTTAACCAAAACACCTCTAATTATGTGCTGTTTACCCTGACCGGTCTGGAGTAGAATTTATTTTCCTGAAACTGAACAGTTATTAAAATCTGTATGGCGTAGATGGAAAGCTCTTGATATTTGGCGGGTTTTTGAATTGCTGATTGATCACGAGCCATTCAATATATGAAAAACATCAAATCGAATATTATTTGCTGTTTTTTTTAGAGTGAAACAGCCATCGCAATTTTAAATTAAATTGGTAGATACGCATGCAGTGGCATTGTTATTGGCAACTGAAAGTTGTCCCATGTAATCAACACTTCTGAACTGGAATTTCCGCAAATTTGCTCCAGCCAGCAAATAAATCAAACAATGCTATTGGAAAACGATTACATCAAATTCCTGGCGGTTATTTGAATACATTTACTTATTTGCTAGATGGAAATAATGAGTTTATTTAGATATAATTAACTTTAATTTCTTGGACCATCATTTTCTCTATGAGGAGCTGAAGCGTTTCGAACATTTATAACTCTAAATCCTCCATTAAACGACAACGTAAATTTGCTTAGCTTTAGCATGTATGAATATCAGTAGATCCGCATTGCTACACTGTACAAATGCATACATGTTAAATTAGAGCACGCTTGTCTCCTAAATTATTTCGAATATCTTTAGGCACACAAATAAATTGCTCATGAACCATAAACAAAAACACCATAAAAGACGAAGCCAGTTATGCAACGCAAATGTCGCGAATTCTAACAAAACGAAAACACTCATTAATTCGCGTCAGTCTGCTATAGATGTATTTGACAAGCGAGAGAACCTCCACATTGAAACTATTAAGGGCTTCATCTTTTGTGCTTATTCTCTACTAAAATAATTAATCTTGTATAAGAATTCGAAAAGAGATTTCTGCCTGTGACGTTTGAAAAACGAACAGGGTTCAACAAATTGTTGGTAACAAAGTGTTGCCTTACAGCACCAAATTTTACTGATAAAACACCATCGGTTAAATCGATTTTCGAAAATTGTAAAAATCAACGGCTTAGAGGCAGAATTTTTTGCACAAAAGAGTGATTTACATCTTAAGATGTAGTGGTCCAATCGCGTCCACAAAGCCAAATCTGTTGGTGTTACTCGAATTTCTAATAACAGCCGACAGGAAATTCGATTCAATAAATAAAACAAAACTTGAAACTTTAAATATAAATTTTATTCAAAAGAATCACATTCATAGGCAACTGAATTGCCTGCTTTTAGGTCATCAAATTCTACAGATTTAACGTGATTCGTTGCACACTCTAAATTATATTTTATTTATTGGAATCGGATCAATATACCAGAACACAATTATTGATGCCCGAAGCTCATAAGCCTCAATTAATAGATGTTTACTATTATCTAACCCGGCAAAATTCATCATAATAAATTCAGAATAAATTGACGTGCATTATTCAGTATAAACAATTAGGAAACCTTAAATAATAAAATAAATCCCATCATAAATAATGCCCAATGGCGCAACTTTCCGTTTTAATGGCATTTAAATAAATCAAAAAGCTTCCCGAATAAATATGCACAGTTTGTCCCAAGCTATTTGGCAGTGACGTCACATTGAAATTTACTCACGTCCGATGTGGGTGGAAGAATTTTTAGTCATGTTGAATCACATATTTATGCACTTAAACTCTCCACTCAGAAGCTCAATGTTGCAAAAGCAGTTTAATTGATTTACCAAAAAAATTTCAGATCTACAGCAAGCTTGACCGGATCACACTCTTCACTCTTCGCTACAGAGCTGCCAGCATGGCACATAAAACGACGAAGAGCCTCCACGTTCCATGAAGGAGACACCAAAGATGAAGCTCCGGCTCCAGGATGGAGAAGACGGAGAACATCGAGTTTCCACGCAACTGGCCGAGCCTATTCTGAGCACATGCACAACACGCCTACTGAATCCTCTCTGCCCATGCCACCTCCTTGCACTTGCCCATACTTTGGCATGACGCAAGAGGAGAAATGCCTGGCGCCTCCGGCTGAGGTAAAGATGGTTTCTGGTGGATTGGGAAGCAACATCTACAACCAAAAGCCAACGACTCCAGCAGTATCGCCGATGAAAAAATCCGCTCTGAGCAATAGGAGCAGACCTGCAAGTAGTGATTCTTCACCGAATAATATTGTTGTCACTTGGGAGTCGAAACGAGGACACAGAAGAGGTACGTGTTGTTTTAAAAGATGTTTGATGTGCATATTTGAAATTTATAATCTGCCGATTATCGGTTCGAAAATTATTTTTCGGCTCAAAAACGACCAGGTCCAGAACAAAATTAGATATATATATTCATAGATTCACGTTCGAATGTTTGCGCAAAATATGCAGTCGGCGAGGATTTAGAGTATGCAACCGTGTTGGATGGATGGAATTGTGTGAATTTGCCAAAAGTGACACTAACCGAAATTAATATTCCCAGTATATTTTTGAATAAGAAATCGATTTATAACAGCTGTTGAATATAGCAAAATCACTGCGAAATTGATGGTTTTATTTGGTGCAAGCTCATGTAGGCAAATGGACGCTAATCCATACGTACCACTGAAAGTTTTCAGAGGTTTGAAACAATCACTAAGTTATACATGTCAAAAGCTCCTCTATTTTCTGTTAGTGATTATAGAATCTCTCTGGAGTAATCATTTGCAAAAATGTCTTCTTCAAAAAGACTTCCATCATCCACATTAACTGAAACCTTTAACTAATTGTCTTAAGGAGTGAAATTGAGTGAAATTAAATGTCTCTCCGCCATTAAAATGCATCCCATTTCCAGGTTCCAGTATCGGCAACACGAAAACCTCCTTGCTCTCCTATTCCCCATCGAATTCCCAAAAAACTCCCCTACTACGCAGATCGGCCACCCTGCGCCAAAACGGAAATATTGCAACTTTGGTGGACAGAAGCAAAAACCCTTCATCGCCCTGCTTGCTCCAGAGGTACCAATGTAATAGTGGAGCTGGAAAACTCACCAGGAGCGTGCGCTCCCATCATTCCAGAAACTCCAGCGTAATATCCAGGAACTCTTCGCGTCATGGACGGATCATCCGGTTGGAGCAGAAGGCCACTAAAGTGTTAGGGGTGGTGTTTTTTACGTTTGTGATCTTGTGGGCCCCATTTTTCATTCTCAATTTGTTGCCGACGTTTTGCACCGAGTGCGACAAGAACTTGAGCGCTTGGGTGATGCATCTGGTTACATGGTTGGGGTATGGGAGTTCCATGGTAAATCCCATTTTCTACACGATTTTCAACAAGGTGTTCAGGCAGGCATTTAAAAAGGTGCTAACGTGTCGTTACCGGAAAACCACATGGAGGCCCCATAGGTGACAAGTGAGGATGAAGAAGAAGCAGCAGAGGACTAAGTTGTAGATCTTTGTCAATAAAACTGGGGTAAATCGGGTGCAATTGGAGAAACCGTGAGTGAAGGTGTAAGTGAAAATATATAGAGTACCAAAGTCTTTCAAACTGAGTGATAGTAACATATACAGCCAGGTAAATGTATTAGCGCTCTTCAAACGCATTTTCCATTATGGTAATAGGGCAAAAATGTAAATAATGCAAGCGTAGCAAACGAATATCATATGAATAGTGAATTCGGCATAAACTTTTCCTTTGATTAAGAATCATGTGCATTTGTTCCTTGATAATTCTAGGCATAGGAAAGTCTATTTCTACAAGTGGCAGTGCTTCAAATGATTAGGTCAATTCTATGGAGATTGACATAAAATATCAAGTAAATAAGAATTTATATATCTAAGATGTTTATAGTGACTGTTATGTGCGTTCGCACTGATGTTACTAAATAATTCCTTTTCCGAAACTGAATGCTTTGATTGATGGAAAATTGTTGACCAACTCAGCATTCTAAAAATCCCAAATAATTGCATAAAACAAACTTTGGAACTTCTAAATTAGGCGCAAGAAATAAACCTCTTTGTTGTTTTTAATGCGAGCATTAAAGAATTGCATGTAGGTATAAATTTTAGCAACAAAAATCCGCAACAATTTAACCGATGGTTAAGCTTTAGTTTTGTATAAATAACTACAGTTAAAAATGGTTTCGCAAAATCCTATTTTCGATAATAATAAATTAAATGTGATACAATTGGTAGGAGTAAGTTTTGTATCAAATTTTTTAACTATTAGCATCCCTAGAAAGTGCATGGCTGGAAATTGGACTACAACTGACAAATTAGAGCAAACTACTGCCAAATTACGTGCTGTTGAAAGTGCAATTTCGCTTATGCACTGACTGTTGTGATAATATTTTATTACATGAGTAGCATTAGAAAATTGGCCTAAATGGCCTTTAGACTTGGGGGAAAAAGATGCTTCTTAAATGTAACATAGATCCATTTATATGTCGTGTACAAAAATCATATCGTAGATAATGTAACATACATACTGCTAGTTTCAATGTCATAGTTGAATAAAATGTTGATATAATAATGATTGTTTTATTGATTCATGTCTGTAAATCAAAGTGAGATAACTTAGATTGATGACGAAGTTTTATTCCAAAAAAAGTGGTCCTGATTTGCAGCAAATTGGCTAAATAAGTTTAAAGGTAAGTTTCAAGATTTACTCACAAATTTCAATGTGGGGTGATTCCAGAGGAAACTCAAGTCCTATTTTGTACCTAAAGATTATACATTTCGCTCTTTGTATGAAAACTGCCACTATTTGCGCACTAAAGTTTCATTTGGTAAGAGGATTTTCGAATTCTCTATTCAGTGCTAGAAAAAAACAGTTCTTGAAATATAACTAAATAAGCAAAAAAACCTTTGCCAAATCCGCGCTAAACTGAATCTCTACAAAACCAAAACTGATTTTTTTTAAATTTCCAACGCACTGATGTTGTTTGTAATTATTTGTATCGTTTTGTTAGTTTTGTAATATATTTTTTGGTTGCCGCCCTGTAAGCTTAAAAGGAAAAAGGTTTCTACATCTGATTGCTAGTAGAATAATGAAATTTTACAAAAAAAATCAAGAAAGAAGATATATATGCGATTAATATAAAGAAACAAGAGACTGTAATAAAATCGTTTGTAGTAATAAAATATTCATTTTTATTACTACAAACGTTATTTTAACGTTGTTAAAATTAAGACCACAACATACAGAACAGCACCTCGTTACAAGGTAATGCATATTTTAAATCACTATTGAAGTTCAGCAGTATTATCTCTAAATATATGAGTTTTTTGCAAAGGGTGGAAAAAAGAAAAGCACTATTGTTCTTTTTTGTGTTTAGAAGGCTGTTATACAATGTGCCCAGTCCGATATAAGCTGATAATAAATTTAACTTTTAGGCCCATCGTGGGTCGCTCTATTATATACCTTTAGGCAGATATTCTGATTAATTTAGCATAGACCGTGTCCGCCCTTCATCGCAGGATCAAAAGGAACAAAGCGTTCGCAGTAATCCTGCAAAACATTTTCCAATCCAATTTCATGGTTGAAGATCGCGCTTTTGCAAAAAGTCAAGCTAACATTCAGAAATCTATTATTTTCTGTGTAATATTTCACACCCATAGTTGCAGTTTTGCGGTTGTGTAGAAATAGGAGTGTATTTGATATTATATACAGATGTTTAAAATTAGAAAAGAAACAAAGGGAAATCTGCAAGAGGCGATTTGTGGAAAATGGTTTGAGGAAACAACTAATTTTTCTGAGGCAAACTTCACTGTTTTTAACATGTCTTACACTTTCAAAAATTTGCCTCCTGCTGTTAAATATGAAATTATTTAACTCACTTAATGGAGAATTTCATTAAAGGCATTTAAAACAATGCTATAAATATAGACAATGAAATTTTTGTTGATGTATGTATGCAATTAATTCTAATCGTTTACTTAGTGTCAGCTTTCTGATTTCAAGTGGCTTTTTGTGGCAAATGATCGCTCTTTGAGTAATTGCGGGATGTAAATCCACCTAAATCACATAACTAATCACCAAGTTAAAACAACCGAAACCCCGTTCCAACATCAAACACAACTTCAAAACAGCCGAGCTAAGGGAAACATTGACAAAACGCTTCTAAATGGCTAGTGTGCATGACTGCATAAATCAACCAAAAATGTGCAAAGTATCAGGATATCGGGAACAAAAAATGTATATACAATTTTAGTTCCACTCTATAAAATCCGTTATATACAATTTTTTTATCATCTTATAAAACCTGGTCGCAAATCGACGATCGCCCACACCCCATTTTTCATGATTCTCTTTACAACGTCGGCATCCGTTCAAATGCCCACACTGCGCCAAAAGAAAAATACCTCCGGAAATGATTATGAACAGCACTTTTAAATTTCAGAAAGTTAAATTCAATCGAATGCCACTCAAACGGATACTTGCAGAAAATTGTTCATTTCAGATAATGGATTTTCTACTGCATGTCATTGATGGGAGCGCCAATAAATCAGCAACGTGCCATTGACGTGCCCATTTAAATAAGATTTCAATTTTCATTAAAAGCTAATACAAAAATGCCTGCCCTGCAGTTATCAATACAACGAATTAAAAGAGGATTTTAAACAAATTATTAAACACGAAGGGAAATTTTCAAACGGGGAGCTTTTCGAGATGCTCGACTTCTAATAGCTTTTTAGTGATATAAACAGCTGACAATCAAAGCAGCTTTGCTGGCAATTTTCTATTCAGCCAAGACAAAGACTTTTAATATTAAGTAAACGGAAAAACGATGATGCTTTTGCAGCTGAGTGACCTTAAGCTGAGGTAGTTTCGGAAAGAAAATCCAATCTATTGCTAGAAGAGAATAATTTTTTTATTTTATTGAGCGATTTGTCGCCTTTGTGAAGATTAAACCGATACCTAATGCAGATTTATTCAAATGTCCCGCTGCGCGACGGTGACGCCTAAACCCAGGGCGCATGGCTTGCCCCACTCTTCTCCCTCTACTCTCCCAAAGGAGTAGCGCAGTATTAAAACCGCAATAGCACCAGCTAAAGAAATAGTCTGTGGGGGAAAGCACGCAAGGCAGCTGCAACCGTTAACTCATCGCCTTTGATAATGTGCACCGCAGACGTGATCGAAACCCTTATCTTATTCCCTTACCTGATTCTTAAACCTGGAATACTTTTCAATTGACCTTTTAACCGGGCGTGGAAGCGTTTGTAATAAAAAAGTACAGCAACAAGATTTTGAGCCGGTAACTACAAAAACGATGCGTTTTGCCAAACCTAAACAAACTGCGTTCTTGCCATTACTATCCTTGATCACTTGTAAAACCGGCTAAAACCATGCTGATGAAAGCTGTATTTCCGAAGGCACAGCTACTCAATTTATTTGGCAACTTTTTGCTCCCAAGACCATTAATGTAAAATGTTTCAGAGGGCCATCAGCCTAAATCCGTTTCCTAAATCCGTTACTTAGGCTTCTAATCTCACCTTCGGCCTATCTCATCACGCTCGGTATTCGGTGTGACTTCCATAGTCCGTTTTCCGGAAAAAAAATTAATCTGGGTGCGACCTTTCCCTTATATTCAGAGCCTTTGGCGCTGTACAGAAAAAGTATGTAGTCGGATTAAATCAGAACATTTTCACATTGGCCTCGCAACTTTCTTAAGCCTCAAATTTTAAATCTTTCATCAGCCAATATTCGTATAAGAATATAATTTAATAAAAAAAAATAAAACCATGTAAACGATCCCATAGAGTTTTATAAAACGAATTGTCGGGAAAATTTAAAAAATCCGTACTACAAAATGTAAGAAAACTTTCCCTTGCTTTATTTAGGATTCAACAAGCCATTTTTTCAACTTCCCAGCGACAGAGTTTTTTCGTATTTCGTATCTTTCTGCGATTTATGGTTCAAAGTAAACTCATAATTATGCGCGGCATCACAGAAAACAAACCCTTTAAAAATATAACGTTGCAAGAAGTACCAAGCATTATTATGTGCTTTAGGAAACTTTATTAGAAGTTTTCGTCGCTGTTTACAACGTGATTCAGTTTGCACAAACAAAAACGAAGAGGGTTTCAAAGCGAAGCTAATGATACAATCCAAATATAGGCAGCAAATGATTGATAATCAAACTTTATTGGAGATATATTAATTAAATTTAACATCAGACTCGAGCTGAGTAAAATGTATGTTTTGCTGTGAATACGCTTTGAAAGTAATTAAATTGAAAGGAAAGCTTTTAAGTATTTATGGGCCTGAAAGACGCCGATGCACATAAAGAAGATATTGGGTAATAAGTAACCAAATTAGGCTTAGGTTTATTGCAAATATACAATTTAGTATGTACTCTTCAAATCCCCAGTCCTGAATAATTAACATTGTGTTATTTAAAATCTCATTTCCCTGTGCAGTACTAAATTAGCCCATTAAAATTTTATTAAGTTGACATTATGACTGAATGATAAGTAAAATCTTCTAAGACTTTATTAATGGCAAAGAATATTTCTAAATAGATATTGTCATGTTTTCATTTGATAACTTTTTTCGAAACACTGCATAGCAAAGGAGCTAAAACTATTTATTTAAATTTCTCCTGGATTAATTTCACCGTGGATTAATCTCTTTGTTTCCAAGCATTTTCTTTTCGCATCTGCTGAAAAGTGGCTTTTTGTGTAACTGATCCGCGTAAATTGGGAAACTGCATATCCTGCAGAATTTTAGATGGGCGGATCGCTGAGAAAACCGTCAATGTAGAGTGGTGGATTTCCAGTGGGAAGCTGCGAAAGGATAAATCACCGATTTTTACAAGATCCATGCATTAAGATAGCGCATTCTTCGGAAAATCGCTGCAGTGAATTAAAAAATTTGGTTTTGATTATCATCATTGCCAGTTTGCTCCATTCCTTTAAACTAATCCAGGAAATTAAGCCGATTTTACCAAGCAAACATAATTTGAAAGCATTGCATCAGATTGCATTCCGCGTAATTAATAGACTTTATAGGGACTGAAGCTCCATGTTCAATATTCCGCAGCTAAATGATTCGCATGGAATTTGAGGATAAAGTAAAATCCACTCCATGGGACAATATTAATTCTCCTGCTGACGATTAATAGTGCTTGCATTGCAAGAAAACCATGCTTCTTAGCACTGTTCTAACAATGGAAAAGGAAAACGTCAACTATTAGAAGGCACTTTTTCGTTAAAACCGATTTGACTTGGCACAAAGATTTATTTCCAATTGCGGCACTTGATCACGTTATTGTCCTCGATCCTGAGCCCTAATTTCGAATCCTTTCGCACTTAAAGGCGTGAAAGGTAAAAGGGAGAAGCCAGGAAACAATATACTGGATTTGACTTTACTTTACTGCCCGCTTAAAATTATTTTCCAATTTCACTGTATTATTAAATTCTCACTGAGTCTGTGAAAGACGTTTAAACGGGCAAAAAATGTAGCTTTTATAGTTTGATGGGCTGCACGAACGATATTTAATCACAGTCTAGCCTTCCAGAGATCTTCTT